AAATACCATCGATGAAACGGTCGAATGCAGAGCGGCACTTTATCACGCCCCATGCTACGTTCGCATCAAAATACCCTGCGAGAGATGGCCGAAAGGAAGCGTGCAAGCTACTGAGCAGGGTGCAAGCGAGCCAGCAGCGTATGGACCCGGCAAGATGACTTTCATTCCGATAGTTTTGCTGGATTTTTATCAATAAATCACTTTTAAAATACAAAAAGGTTCCCGACCCCTGCACTAAACGATCAGGGTTCACATTTTGTATGAGAAGTTTAATTGGACAAACTATAATGCAAAACTTTCTAGAAGGATCAGCAGACACCCAGTTTGAGTGAAATATATCCAAAGTCTAAAAACTAACTCAATGAGCGCAGTGGACAGAACCCAAAGGGAAAGAAAGATTCTTTAAAAAAAAAAAGGTTGAGCATACGTGCTCAAAAGAGATCGTGATCACATGAAGGTCGCAACACTGCAGCCGAGCAGCGCCATACCTCATGTCGCCCAGTTTCCTGCTAATAGCCGAGCCCATGGTGGTGAGAGCTGCGCTGGTCTTCTGTCCTGCCTGGGAGAGGGTCTCCTGAGTCTTCTTGTATCTGCCGAAAGGGTAGAAGACCAGGATTGGGGTGTTACTTTTAAAATGTATTCCGATACAGTTACTAGTTACAGTCCACATACATTTAACAAAAGGGTTAAAAAAAAAAAAAGAACTGGGGGGTAACAAAACACTGTTGTTTAACTAAAAGCTTTTTGCTTTGCTGTTTTTCTGCGTAGACCATCCGCGTAGGTTCCAAATTTTCCTCTGCGCAGAAAATGTGGGCAATGCGGACACCTCGCTTAAATCACGGAAGTCGTTGATGTGTCAAGCATAAGCCAAGCTTTTGGCTTGTTCAATATACTATAGAGACACAGAACGATTAGAGAGGCAGATTGACAACATTGGCTTCATGGGTGTGACGGGCTCCATTAGATAGACAGACGGACAGAGTAGACGAGGGTTGCACGATATACCGGTTCTAATTTGCTACTGGGGTACTGAGGCATCTAAAATTATACTAAACTGCATTTGGTTTGTATAGGTACTTGCAGTGGCGCCGCTCGCCACGTGTGCAAACCCAAGTCCAATGAAGTTGGGATGTTGTGTTGAATGTGAATTAAAAACAAAATACAATATTTTGCAATAAAGTTGAACCTAGGTTTAATTGAATGCATTATATCAATGCCATCCATCCATCCATTTTCTACCGCTTATCCGGGATCGGGTCGCGGGGGCAGCAGCTTTAGCAGGGAAGGCCAGACTTCCCTCTCCCCAGCCACTTCTTCTAGCTCTTCCTGGGGTCTCCCAAGGTGTTTCTAAGCCAGCTGGGAGACTTGAGCCCTGTTCACACGGCACACATTTGGTCCGACGCTGCACCGAAATATTTTGTTGCGATATATTTTACACCGGACCAAATTTTGTGGAGCGGTCACACGTGCAAAGCCGCTGAGCGTGACAGCACCGGCGCAGCTCCACTTGCGGTCACACGTGCAGTTTCTGCTGCGGACCAAAACGACAGGAATGCGGAAGTAAAACAGGTTCGGGTCGGGTCGGGCTTCTCTCTCGCGGACTTTTATTTATTTTTCTTTTAATAAATATTATGGCGGACAATATTCTGTCCTTGTTCAGAATAGATCCACTTGTCGGCAGTCGTGGAATAAAGACGTGTTTACAGTCAATCGTGTGTGCTCCTTATGACTGCCACAATATATGTTTTAAAAAATGTA